GACATAGATATCAACTTACACTACTCCTATTAAATATAATATTAAACTTAAAAACAGGCCTTACTATACTATTGTTGATAGTAGAGCTGCAATTAGCATAATCTCTCACAAAGTTGTCAAGAAACTTGGTTTGAAAATTAAAGCCTCTTAATTGTATTAGCTACTGGACCCTCTACTAAACCTCTAGGAATTATTAAAAACCTTCTAGTAGAGATTGAAGGAGTCACTATTCCTCTTGATGTAGAAGTTATAGATACTGCATCTTACTTCTTGCTTTTAAGAAATAACTGGTTATAGAAAGTTAAAACTAGTTATAATTAAAAAAACAAGAACTATACAATTAAGTGGAATAAAAAAAAATTTATGTTTTAACTATCTATAAACAACACCAACCTTTGCTAGCTTAACCAACAATAACTAATGAAAGAGACCTGGCCCAGTTTGAACAGAAACATCTTGTTCTTAAAGAAGCCTATACTGTTTATCTTGTAGAAACTACTAATGAAAACCCATGCATTACTCAGACCTTCAGAACCAAACATAGAACCCAACAAGCACCCTCTATCAGGACTTGCTGAGGATACAATTCTACATCCCATCTTTTTGTTGACTGCTCTTACAGCCAATGTTATCGCTATCATCAATATAGATATATTTCTGCCTATTGCTCTTACCAAGTCTCTAAATGAGACTTTTGCAAAACCTGTGCTCAACCAGAACATTTCTATAGAAATTGCCTTCAAAATAAATGCTACCAATGTGATCAATATAGTTATATTAGCATCAATTGCCCTCTTGCCTTTATCAAGTTGGATAACCAAAGATACAGATATGGATATTTCTTTGATGAAGTGAATGAACAATAGTAAAGCTACTACTTTGTAAAAGAATTAACTATTGTTGTTAATATAAAGTACCTCAGAAACCAGAAGACCTCAGATTGCTAAACCAAACTTTAGTTTGTAGAGCTTGTTAGACCAACTTTCATCATAAATTAGACCAGGATGATCTAAGAAGCATTGAGTATTTTACTAATAGTTAGAGGTCTGATCTGATAAATAGTATATTCGAATATTCATTGAATATTCA